CGTTTCGGTGCGAGCACCTTAGTCTGTGAGACCACTATCCGTATGTTGCTGTTTGCTGACGAGTGTGCGTTGTTTGCGCATATCGCGGAGGAGTTGCAGCACATGACTAGTGCTTTGGCTTTGATAGCGGCCAAGTTCAAGCTCAATATCAACACAAGCAAGACTGTGTGTCTTTTCCAGCATTCAACCGGAATGGAGTCCGTGAGCTTGCCCCAAATGCAGATTGCCCACGAGAAGTTGGAAACCACTTAGAGATTTTGCTACTATGGTAGCGTAATAACAACCGACCAGCAGATGACGTGTGAGCTGCGCAGCCGCGAGGGCGGCTGCTGTCTTTGACAATCTGGAATGCCGTGTGTGGAACAACCGCCAGCTTACTGTCTGGACGAAGCTACTGGTATACAAGTGTATGGTGCTGTGCGTTCTTCTATACGGCAGCAAAATGTGGACGCTTTATCGGAAGGATGTCCGAGATCCGGAACGCTTCTATCAGCAGTGTCTGCACCGTATTATGCGTATCGGCTGGAGTGACCGAGTTGTAGACAAGGTGCCACGACGCAGTGGTATGTATGCAGTGGAACGTATAATTCTGTTGAGGCACTTGAGATGGCTCGGGCATATTCCCCGCATGGATTCGACCGGGATACCGAAACAGCTGCTTCATGGTCAACTACGTGCATGAAAACGGCACGTGGGAAAACCGAAGTTACGTTACCAGGACATGGTCAAAGTGAGGCTATCGTGTTGTAAGGTTGATTGCAGGTCATGAGGATCGAAGGCGGATGATCAGCGTGCATGGCGTGATTTAATCTCGAAGTCAGTTGTTTATGTGCAAAAGAAAGCCCTCGTGCATGCGGAGAAGCGGTAATTGCGGAAGCAACAGGCTCCGATAGGTTGCATACCATGGACATCGAGCGCATGGTGCTGTAGCACATGCGATCGTGAGTACCTGAGTCAGGCAATCCTAGTCAGCTACGAGCGAGGCCACTCGGGATAAACATCAAAAACATGACGGGTGCTGCTGAGAAGGTAAGCAGAACCGGCGCAGCGTTGCTAGGTACGTTGCATTCGATTTACTATCCGCGTGCTTGCATGCTGAGTTTCTTTATTTCAGGTGGTTTGTTTGCTACCTTGTTTTATTGTGATTTTGTTACCTCATTTTGATGTGGAACTGAATAACCTATGAAACTGCACATTTCGCATAAACTAAAAGTGGTGCACTTAGCATTTTCTCCTGCTTACATATGTGTCTTGATCTCTTTTTCTGCCATCCCGAATCTGTCATGGCCATTCTGTTGACCTAATTATCTTATGTGCTAATTTAGCGGCATATCGATATGGTGTATTCGAGCTTTTTTATTCGACATTGCATTGCATGTGATTGGCTGTTGCTCGACATCTCCGGTGTGACTGCGCTTGATGTGCATGTTGACCTATCCGTCCATTACCCACCATCTCGTCTATACTGGCTCCAGGAGACAATTAATTGTTGCTGTAGGGGACAGGGTACACGGTCCTCGTGACCGTGCTAATCTCGGATAGTGGTTACACGCACACGGTTTGGAGTGGACTACGGTTCAGCCACCGCCTTGTGTGCGCTTGATTCCCCAAATACAGCGTGCTCGTGTTTGCCTGTGAAGGAGTGTGAGCCGGCTCCGTTGAAGAAATGTGGCTTCCACCCACATGTCTCCCGGTCTTATTCCTTCGGGTTTACATTGGATATGGGGTGTGTGGTTGGAGCTGTGGGTGGTGCAGCGCAAGCAACCCATGGTCCATCTGTAGGTGCAGGCATCCAGTGGCTGTCGTATGGAGGCCACAGTGACAGGAACATCCGGAACCAGATACCGCCAACAATATACTGTGACTAGAAGTGAAGTGTAAAAGTCACGCTGGCTCTGATACAGTGCCTTACGAGATCTTGTGGTATTTAATGAAGAACTATATGATCAGCCCAGAATTCCCCACGCTCGAGGACGCTGCCACTGATTGTCCCTGAGTGCATGTACATCTCGTCTGCGAAAAGTATGGACTTATTCACAGCTAACTTCGCAAGAAAGGCGTTTCGCGATCCGCAATCTAGTGACGCGCCTGGTGATGTACAGTTCCACCTGACCAACCTGTGATCGGTTCACTTCCCGATTTTTCAATGAGTCTTACCGTAAACCGTACCAAACGCACACCTCGATTTGTGACTGAGTAGTTGTGACAGTCCCCGGACAGGCAAACCAGGATACCCTGCGTACTAAACTTTGGCTCTCTCATCTTAATGAAGAGAGCAGAAAACATCAGTACTATGCCAGTACGCAGTACCGACGCTTCGCTGTTACGCAACCACCACTGGTCGCACGCAGGCTGTGGGTACTGCCTCTATGCAGGCTCGAATCCGCACTGTTAGATTACAAGACAACCGCGTTACCTTTAAGCTACGGGTTTCAGTGGAATAGGATCTCAGCTGACATGAACGATGAAGCAGCCTCAGCTTGAGACAATATCAATCGTGACCGCACCAGTCACGACATATCCAGGAGGTCAAATAATCTGTTGGAATCCAGAAGAAAACTACCAATAACAACAGCAGCAGCAGCAGCAACAACAACAACAGGAAAACATCAGCCATCTGAACTCATTCTTCGCTAACATACAATCATGATGACCTATGGAATAAAGAACAATAAGCAGGAGAGACGGGGAACTTGATAGAAAACCTTAATGCCCTAAGCAAACATTCAGGGTCAAGGCGCCTACACCTTGTGTCAACAACATACCATCACAAACAGCTGCCTCTCGTGCAAAGATAAGGTGGCATCAGCGAGAAAGCGTCCCTACCGCTTTCACTGCCCCGCGTCATAATCAGCCATTACCCCGCAGATAACTCAGAACCAAACACACAGTGAACAGGCAGTCTCACTAGGAGACGGCAGCAGACGCGCCACTGGTGTCGCTTGCGAGCCATGTTCCATAAAGTCTCGAGCCAAGCACAAGAGGAGAAGGGCCACTGGCACCCAGTTTGGTCGTCAGTGGCTTCCTTTCACACTGCCAAGTCAACTTCTGTCCACTTCGAGCCTTGCGCCATCCTACACCTGGCAGACTAAACAAGACCCTCCTAAGTAAGCGGTGACCAGGCATACGTAGTAAGTGCCCAAGCGAAAGCAACTTAGTCAGTGCTATCTGTTGTTCCAAGGAACAAGCTTAGTTACCACTGTCTAGTAATTGCCTACGCACATCATCATTGCGGACACGTTGGCGTCACCTGACACCAGTAATGCTTCGCAGACAATGATGATCAAAGACTTGAAGGCGCCACAGATCTTCAGACCGAAGGGGGCCAAATCTCACTACCATAGAGTAGGACGGCTCTCACTGTGGCCTTGTATACACGGCCTTTCAAACGGCGGAAAACTCCCTTACGTCGCTAAAGATGCCGCAGAGTTAAGAAGGCAGTTCTGGCCCTTGCAATGCGTGAACTAACTTCAGTTTGTATGCGCCCATAGTTGCTGATGCAGCTGCCAAGGTAAGTGAATCGATCAACTACCTCGAGGTGTTCGTTATCAAGGATTAAAGGATCATCAAATGGCTGGTGGTCCCGCAGCAATACTTCGCACTTTGAAGGTGCGAAGCGCATACCAAATAATGGAACCACTCTAGACATGCTACTCAGGGTTGATTATGAAGCTGCAACAAAGTTAAACAGCAAGAAGATATCGCCCGCATAAGTAAGATCAAGTAACCTTTCACCAAGCAGGACCTCAACGCCTATATCGTGAGATTCTGTAGGAGAACACTCCATGATGGAGTCTACGACGAGACTGAACAAAAACGAGAAAATCGGACAACCCTGAAGAACGATACTTGCTGTCGGAAAGCTATTCGACAGGTCACCGTAGACCCTGACGCGGTCTGTAGTGTTCGAGTATAGAGCGCGTAAGATGCTCACATATTTTGTGGGAACGCCTTTCCACACAAGTAGTTTGAACAGAATACATCGATCGACTAAAACGAACACACACTTGAAATTGAGGAACACAGCTATAATCGGTCTGCGGTATGCGTGAGGTTGCACTAGCACCTGTCACAGAGTGAAAACATAGTCCATACAACTACGCCCTGGACGGAAACCTGTTTGCTCTTCCCTAATCTGTGATTCTCTTTCCACAATGAGGCAACGAGACTGGACCTTAACGTGGTGCGACGGTTTGCGTACCTCATTGACCCATTGAGCTATACTGGGTGATGCCTCCGAGCATCTTGAGAGCTACTCCTACCAGGTTGGTCAATGGTGAGAGGGTCAGACAAACTCAGTCTCCTGGTCCTCCAGGTTGGGGGTTTGAAATAGGATGGCGTCCATTTCTGTAAAACTAAATCATTGCCACCTCCCCTCTGCCTTGCGGACAGGCTTTTGAGCCAAAAGGCTTTGGGGATGAGGACCCTAATCGTTCTCCTGTCTAGGTCTGGGCGCCCTGGCAGTATCCCAGCCCACATACAACCATGACATTTTCTTCAAACATAAATTTCATCCTGCATCGGCCGTCGCGCAGATTATCAAGGGTCGCCTTATCTGCTGCATACAGCAGGGCGGATAAGCGAAAGCATGCTACTGCTGGCGCCTCCCTTCTTTCTTTTCCACCTTTTTCTCTTACTCTCCATCCCGGCCCCCATTACTAACCTTCCTTCTATAATTCCCAGCTTAATTGACAGCACCGACGTGC